TAGCTCTCTATTTTTTGTTGTTTAGGGTGTACATTCTGCAATTAGTGATAGGTTTTGTTATATAGGGTGTACATTCAAGTTTGTTGGTGACACTGCATGCCTGACTCCTGTAGATGGACCCATCTTTCAAGTTTGGGAGCCTGCAGATGAAGATTGCTAAAATATTATTGATTCGCTTCCGCAAGTGGTTTCATATGTTTACCGGAGGCAGCTCTTCTTCTATCAGGTCAGATGCATTGTCTTGTATTCCCTCCGTTCCTGGATATTTCAAATGGACTATAATGTACGGATGTATATAGACATATTTTAGATTGTAGATTTATTCATTTTACTTCGTATGTAGTCGCTTGTTGAAATCTCTGAAACGACAAATACTCACTCCGTTCCAAAATAGATGACACAACTTTGCACTAACTCATCTACTTCCTCCGTCCCATAATTTAAGAACGTTTTTGACACTACACCAATGCCAAAAATGTTCTTATATTATGGGACTGAGGGAGTATTTAGGAACGAAGGGAGTACTACTGTAACTAAAACATGTCGTCAGTCAAATAAGGTTCTGGAACGTTTAAAAAAAACTTTTTATGAGCTACATGGGGCCAACTTTATACGATTCCCTTGGGATATCTTTTTTTTTTTTGGTGACCATCCTCTTTGATACCCACTGCTGTAACTTTACTTGCATCTGATTTAGGAGGGTGATGACAGATTGCGCTGCCTATCCAAATCGATGCACTACGTATTTTATTTTGCTTGGTACGTCATACAAGGATGACTTGCAGTTTTCTATCCAAGATATGATGTTAACTGTTTTGCACAATATATGCTATGTAAAAATAGCTTACATCAGTCATTATTTTAATTAATGAGCTGTTGTATCGGCGATGTAAAATCGCGTTGTGTGTACCTAACATGACTTCTGGTGCACATATAAGCTTTGATGTATTGTCCATGTTGAGCTTATTCCTATGACTAATCATCCAGAGGTAATAGTAGATGACTTATCATTCGTAGCTTTCTTTCGTAATAACTTGTTGAACCTTGCTTTTGAGATACCATGCTTTCCTATTAATAAGTGGCAGTTCTTTTCGTTTTTATGAACCTTTAGAATATACTAGTGTATGTACTAGGTGCTTTAAGTCTGGTCTAGTTTATTGTTCATTGCAGCAGCAAAGTACAGGAAACCCAAGAAAAGGACATCTTGAGCAAATGGCAGCTCCAACTATGAAAAGCGATACCCATTAGGTCTTTTCATTCCTACAAAATCAAATCATATGATCGTTGTTAAGAGTTCATGTATAATTTGTGTACCATAAACGCAGAAGATACCATGTTATGCGCAATTACAAATGAAGGTTAGGATGGCATACCACAGTGATCATTCCCACAGGTTTGGCAATTTCTATCTTCTCTGATATCATCACAGAATTCGGGTTTTATCCTCTGAATAAATAAATGATATGCGCTTAGCACAATGGTATCTTTGACATAAGCGTGTATATAGCAAAGATGCAATTTCATTCAACACTACATACCAGCTTTTTAACTGCCTCTGCAATCAACTCCTGACCTTTATCCTCTGATACCTAAGGCAATCAGACGTGAAAACAAATCAAATATAAGATGCATATCACAGTACTTACTTCCTTGGAAACTGAAAAGATGAAGCAAGCAGAATAGATAACCATGCACGTTACAAAAATGTTTTAGACTTGAAGGGTATCGAAGAAGAGCCTACCGTCCATTCCCTCACAGAACAGTCCTCCTCTAAGGCATATTTTATGCTATGTTGGAATGACGGACACCTGCTCAGCTTATCGTCGTCCTTCAAAGTATCTGTGGAACTATCCTGTGCATTGCAATTAGAGCACACATATAACTTGGTTGCCATGAACAGAGAAGATATCAAATTAGGCGCAATTACAAACAAATATTAGGATAGTATACCTCAGTAATCATTCCTATAGCTTTGGCAATGTCGATCTTCTTTCTGATATACCCATCATAGAATTTGGGTTTTATCCTCTGAATAAATAAATGATTTTCGCTTAGCATAATGGTTTTGAAATAGGCATGGATATAGCAAGATGCAATTTCATTCAAGCACAGTACCTGCTTTTCAACTGCCTCTGCAATCAACTCCTGAGCTTTATCCTCTGGTACCTAAGGCAGTCAGACGTGAAAACAAATCAAATATACAACACATAATCCACTGGATCAATCTCACATGCATATCACAGTACTTACTTCCTTTGTAATGCCTGCCCCTACCGTGCAACGAAGAAACTGAAAAGATGAAGGAAAGATGCAAAAGAGATAAGCATGCATGTCATGAATTTTAGACTTGAAAATTATCTGTGAAGGAGAGCCTACTGCCGTTTCCATCACGGAACAGTCATGCTCCATGGCATATTTTATGCTATCTTGTAGTGATGGACACTTGTTCAGCTTAGTGACTTCCTTCAAGCTATCTCTGAAACTCTCCTGTGCATTGTTGAGGAAAAAAATACATTACCAAGCATGTACAGAGTTCATTAACACCGGGAATTAATCAGAATTACATGGATAATCAAAGAGTGTGCAGGACACTGGTTTACAGTGCTGAATGTTAACCTTTTGTTGAGTGACCCGCTTCCAAATCTCGAAATAGAGACCATCGGACCCGTTACACCAAGTAGCCTCAATGCACATGTAGTTAAAACAATCCTGCATAGAAAGAATGGAACTGTTAGATGCAAACCACACAAAAAATACATTTGTGAGTGTGTTAGAGATCATACACGGAAGCCAATACGAGCTAAATGAGTTGTGATCTTGAAAAAGCGAGTGGCGATCTTAGTTGCTTGATAAATTCCTCTGGTGCGTATCTTGCTTACCTAATAAAGAACAAAAGAATTACCATGGTGGTGCAGCATATAACAGAAACATTGCCATTCATGATCTTTTGTGTGGTCATGCACTTACAGAAAGAGCTGAAAACTTGCTCGGTAGACAATCTTTCAACCACTGTATCAAGAATAGAAAAAATGGTTTAGTCCCCCAACAAAAATCCAATCGTTGCAGGTAGCTAGTCTTGCTTGACTTACAATGCATGTATACCTTAAGTTCCCTTAATAATGTTTCGAAGTACTCGATGTATTCATATTGCATCTCGTAGCTATGGAGGTAACCGCGGTACACAACCCAACCAGCGTACTCATAAGCACTCTGCATCAAAATGAAGGGAAAGAGGAAACACATGGTCAGAATGCTTTATAGAATGACAATTATAACATACTTTATAATATAAGATGTTCTAACTTCTTTCTGAATTGGACGTACATAGACACGTTTTAGTGTATTTGTTCACTCATTTCAATCCGTATGTAGTCTATTAAAATATCCAAAACATCTTATATTTGTGAACGGAGGGAGTAACAAACTGTAAATAGCAAGGGGCAGAAAAAAAACAAGGGTTTGATATAGGGCTAGCAAAAACATACTAATATTATTCATAAAAGTAAATAAATATGTTGGTTCCTTTAAAATAAACTACCATTTCCAACAGGAAAAAATGCATATGACTACTATACTAAAAAAATGGTGAGCCTCTATTAAGGCAATAAAGTGGAAAGAAAAATATTCTGGATTGGAGCTATGTTAAAGTAGTTGATTAGCCGGTTTTCAGAGGCCGGTGATCTGATGATATACATTTTCCAGCATATAACACTATGAAATGTCCATCCAAGATAACAATTAACACTCTGTAGATGTATCATGAACTCATCAGTAACTGTGTATATTGCACTGCAATCTAGATCCTTAAATAAGTAAATAAATAACTTTTCAACCCTTTCTGGAAATAGTCCACATAATGTCTCACTTGTGTATATAGCATGGTTTCCAAATTCAGAGAAATGGACCTAACTAGCCATACTAACACAATGGAACACCTAAGGCAATTAAATGATCACAGGAACACTCGGTTATCAAATTATATACGTACATGCTTCCGAGGGATTAGACGCTGGTAGTCATTCACGCAAGCAAGCTTGTAGAGATCAGGATCGAAGAACCAGTCTAATATGCCTTCATTGTCGAAGAAGCTAAAATATCGCATCTTCACAAGGAAATCTGTAGGAAATTCTTCTCTGTCAAGAAGCTCCATAGGGCACTCTTTCAATTCATCACAGCATAACTCATTCTTGGACTCCTTTTTTAACAACTGTAGGCAATGATATCACCACTGGATCAAATTAGATATGGATGGGAGTTTAAAGAAACCAGCATAAGTAGGATAGAACAAGCAACATAAAGTCACAAGGAACACAGATGTACAGATTGAACAACTTTTAATGGATGACTGAAAAACAGAGGCATGGATGGATCGAACCTTGTAGGATCTGATGCGATACACCGCATGGCGGAGGTCCATGTTAAAGTGATCCTCAAGGTTCAATTCAGTTTTGGTATCGACAAGGCGGTCGGGAGGCAGCTGCTGCAAGTATCCATAGTATTCCTCAAAGTCGATGTCCTCTCCCAAGCCCAGTTCGTTCAGCTTCTGGATTATGTCGCCCACATCTTCTTCTACCTGTGTTGCGGCATATTGTTGTTTCTGTTCCTGGATAGCAGCAGCGTTGCCATGGTCATGAGCATCGATGTGACGACTGGTACCCGCATCGGAACAGCGGGAACTTGTCCTTGTTCTGAGTTGTGGAGATGTTCTTTTCGCTGGAAAAGATGTACTGCTTTTTGTGTGCTTCTTCTCTACAGAAAGACGTTCTTTTCGCTGGATACCATGTGTATGTGGGTGGAGCTGATCAGGGGGGCACATCTTCTTCTCTGCACTATGCTTCTGTTGATTCGAGCCTGTATCCACTTTCTCCATTCGCCTCTGAGAAATCTCTCCGGCAAGACATGCTTCAGTCTTGAAAGGCCACATATCCTGATCAGAAGCGCACATCTTCTTCTCTGCACTATGCTTCTGTTGATTCGAGCCTGTATCCACCTTCTCCATTCGCCTCCGAGACATCTCTCCGGCAAGACATGCTTCAGTCTTGAAAGGCCACATATCCTGATCAGAAGCGCACTTTGTCTTCTCCTTTGCATTATGCTTATGTGGATTCAAGCCAGTATCCACCTTCTCCCTTAACTTCTGAGACATCTCTCTGGCAAGACGTGATTCAGTCTTGACAGGCCGCTGGATAACCTGTATATGATGGCGGAGCTGATCAGGGGGGCACATCTTCACCTTTGCATTATGCTTGTATGATGGCGGAATCAAGCCTGTATCCACCTTCTCCTTTAGCTTGTGCGATCTCTCCTTTCCAAGGTGCTTCCGTGACAAGACAGAGCTTGAACGTGTGTCTGCCATCTCCTTTCCACGAAGCGACGGCACCCTGTTCAACCCCCTTTGTCGGATTCGATGAGGATTTGCTAAGGGCTCCTGCACGATGTTCTCGTCTGCAAAGACCTGCTTCGGCCGCATCGCGCTCGCAGTTGCCGTGCCCTTTAGGTGGTTCGGCATCGCGCTCGCAGTTGCCGTGCCCTTTGCGTGGTTCGGCATCGCGCTCGAAGTTGCCGTGGCCTTTTGCGTAGTTCGGCATCGCGCTGGTAGCCGCCTTGTCCTTTCCGTGGCACTGCTGCATCTCTCCAAACCCTAACCTACAACTTTTTTTTTTTTGAGACAACCCTAACCTACAACTAAACGGAGATGAACACACAACATCAATAATGTTAAAGAAAAAACATCCAAACAAAAACAAATTGGGCTATAAGGCCACAGAGGGGTACCGGCGGTGTTATCTGTGGCGATCCGACGCGTTCCCTCGACAGACGGCGATCACGGGGAGAGCCGGGGAGGTGGCTACCAGATACGAATCGATCTTTTTGAAAGATTAAGTAGAACGAATCGATCTTTTTGAAAGATTAAGTAGAACGAATCGATCTGAGACGGGCGGGGAAGAAAGACGCGCTAGAAGAGAACTCGGAGGAAGGCCCGTGGCGTCGCGGTAGGAGGGAGTAAATTGCTCAAAGCCACCACATTTGTGGCTAGGATACTGCAAAACTACTGCTTTTGGCAAAAATCATGAAAAACCACCACTTCTGTGGCAAGTGAGTAACAAATCCCACTGATTCGAAACTAAGCCGCGTTAATAGCAAAACTGACAGGTGGGACCCGCATGTCTAGGCTGATGTGGCAAAGACTAGTTCTAGTCAATGTTTGACCTGCTGAGGTGGACATGGGTCCCACTTGTCTGCCACAACTCTTATCTCCTCTCTCTCTCATGTCCTTCCTGCCACATGCCCGCCCCTTGCCTGCACCCGAGTCAACTCCGACGAGGCCTAGCCCCTGTGCGCCCGCCCCCTGCCTGCTCCGGCGAGGCCGAGCTGCCGCATGCCCGCCCACTGCCTGCTCCTCGTCGCGCGCGCTCCCTCCCCCTGCCTGCTCCATGCCGCGCGCCCGCCCCCTTGCCTGCTCCGGCGAGGCCGGGGCGGCGTGAGCCCGCGCCCCGGCCCGCTCCAACAAGGCCGAGCTACAGTGCGCGTGCGCCCAGCACGCACGGGGTCGAGGTCAGTCGGCAGCGGTGAACGCGGCCATGCCCAACCGTGAGAAGCTGGTGAATCGGCGGCGGTGGCGATGCAGGGGCCCTGCGGCGGTGGGTTCAAGGCCAGGCGACGGCGGACGCGACTGTGGCCAGCCGCTTGACCCTGGCGAGCAGCTCGGGCGGAGCGACTCCTCGCCACCAGATGCTCCTGTCGTGGCCGGCCACTAGTGAATCGATAACGACGGCGATGCAGGGTCCCTGCGACGGTGGGGTTCGAGTCCAATTGGCGGCGCCGATGCCGGGGCCCAACGGCGGTGGTTGGAGCCCATTTTGGACGGGAAACAACAGCGGAGGGCGGATCTGGAGGCTGGAGACTGATTCCGGTCGGATCTGGTGTCCGGCAGTGCGGCGACAGCTGGGTACGGCCGCGTCCGCCGCCGCCAGTCGTCGAGGAGCGCCCCCGAGCAGATGTGAGGAGGAAGACGGAGGTGTGAGGCTGACATGTGGGCCCTTTGCCACCTCAGCATATTATCCAGCTAGGCATGCCAAATCAGTCTGACATGTGGGGCCAACTCGTCAGTTCCACTGTTAGACGCGTCTCAGTTTCGAATTAGTGTGATTTGTTACTCACTTGCCGCGGAGTCGGTGGTTTTTCGTGATTTTTTGCAAAAGCGGTGGTTTTGAAGTACTCTAGCCACAAATGTGGTGGCTTTGAGCAATTTACTCCGGTAGGAGGCGGCCGGCTCGGGACAGGACGAATCGGAAGGGGAAAGAAGAAGAAAATATCTTCTGAATCCCTAAACCTAGTAGCAGCCGCCGCCGCGTGGCTCCGGACTCGGGAGAGTGCGCAAACCTGGAGGCCGTGCTATTAAGGCCAACTCCACTGCGCGACCCCAAACGGATGTCCATTTTGTCCGGTTTCTGTCCGTTTGGATAGGGATTTGGGGTCGTGTCCGGGCCTGTTCTGGGATGCGGTGGCCGTGCGCCCAACGCGCGGCCGCATCCATTTGCCCCATCCTGTCCGCGTATATTTCTTTGCAAGTCCTTAACTTTTTTTTATCATTCATTTTTGGTACATGATAATACATCATTACATTTTGACTAGTAAAGTAAGGCCAAAGAAAACAAGAACCACAAAAATACATTTGAGAAGATACCCAACTTGCATAACTACTCCCTTGAGTTGCGTTAGCGCCTTCTCGATGCACTCATTGTTGATTTGTGGAGGAGGCACGACGTTGCACCCTCCTCTCTTCTTCAAGCCAGAAGTCGACGTTGCTTCCTCACACGTAGGATCGTGCCTTGTTGCTTCTTCGCACGTAGTATCGTGCCTAGCCTCTAATCTAGCAACAAGTGCACTTGTCTCATCTAAAGCCTCTAGGCTAGCTAAAAGTGCACGAACATGCAGTACATTTCGCTCTATCAACATATCAATGTACTCTTCTTCCCAATACCAAAACTTGCATCCGTTCTACACAATAAGACTTAAAGTTAGCACCACTAGTCTAATCGAAAGCACAAACCGAAGCTAAAAGAGCACATACCCCATCGTTGGGCAGTGGTCGCACTTGATGAGGGGCAACGGTGCGCCGACGAGCTTTTGGGCAAGCACCAAGCCCGGCCGGCCGCCATTCGCGTATCTGCCGGCGGGCCACCGACGGTGCAGATCCGGGCGGCTAGAGGACGAGCCACTGCCTGCATGTGGCCTTGCAGCCCTGCCAGGGCCTTCCGGCAAGGTTTCCGGCCAGTCCATGGCGCAGCCCGGCCTCCCACAGCCGGACGAGCTCAAGACCGGCCGGATCCGCCCCAAATCCGGCCGGCGGGCGCGCAAACAAGGTGGCCGTGCTTGGGTAGCTCGGCGACGACGAGAGGAAGGGGCTGGGCAAGCGCGCGTCCGAGTTGCACGGCTGCAATGGCAGCGGGCGGCCGGTGCGGCGAGGGGAAAAGAGGGGAAGAGTGGAGTGGATGCGGCCGGAGGGAGGGAGGGGGCATATAGAAAAAGGCCCGTCCTGTGTCACCGACGGGCGGGCCAGGGGAGGACACGCGCAGACGACCCGCGCGTCCGCGTGGTGTCCGTTTCACCCCAAAAGCGGCGCAAACTTGGGCCGCGGATGGGTCGAAAGCGGACACAAAGCGGACAAAAGTCCGTTTGCGCCCGCGCGTTGGGCCGTCTCGTTTGTCCCTTTTACCCCAAACAGACGGGGGCATACAGGATAGGGTCACGCGGTGGAGTTGGCCTAAGGTCGAGCCGTGGGGCACGAGTCTTTAGGCCGGGCATGACCCGGCACGGCACGAGAATAAAAAGGGTCGAACACGGCCCAGGTCCGGCACGCCCTTTTTTTTACGGCCCAGGCCCGTTCCCAAAATTGGCACTCACCCAATCGCGTAGTTAGCCCGGCCCAACAAAATGCGTTGGGCGCTGGCCGCTTCGTTCAGTCTCTACCGACGGGGAGCACGAGTCCTCCTCTTGGGCGCCTTAAGCGCTCGTTCCCTTAGCGGGCGCTCACGCAGCAGCCTCGGGTGGGCCGGCCCAGCAAGCGCCAGTTCCCTTTCTTCCTTCGATCGCTATAGCTCCTTCGTGCACGTGTTGTTCGTTTTTTCTTTTTGTTGTTCGTCCCTTTCGTTTACAAAAACTGAAAACCACATGGATCTAAAAATTATGAATTTGAAAAACAGTTCACGAATTTGAAAAAGTTCATCAATTTTGAAAGCAAAAAATGGAAAAAGTTCATCGAATTTGAAAAAAGTTCATTGGATTTGAAACAGAGTTTGCCGAATTTGAAAAAAGTTCATCGAGTTTGAATAAAAGTTCATCAATTTCAAAAAAAAGTTCATCAAATTTGAAAAAAGTTCATCAGATTCGAAACAGAGTTTGCTGAATTTGAAAAAAAGTTCATCGACATTGAATAAAATTTCATCGTTTTAAAAAAACAGTTCATCAAATTTGGAAAAAAAATCATCACCTTTGAAAAAGTTCACACATTTATGGGAAAGGAAAATTCAAGATAGAAAAAAAACGAAAGAAAACAGAAAAACAATTGGCTTTCTCGCATCTACCTAATAATAAATAGTAAAGCAAATTGGGTTTCTGTCGTCGTCGACATTTTTACAGAAAAACCCCTATGATATTAAGTAATTAACCCGCAGTCCAGTAAATAAGGGCATGTACAATGCATAGCCCCAAGGTGATGCTTCGCATGCCATGTAGGATCGGATATGACGTAAAGTAGGTTCGGATAGGGAAGCGGGATCCTCTCCAGGAGGCGGGTGCTTGAAGAGAAAAAGTGTGGTCCGATGACAAAAGCTAAAAAGGTTGGAGTGAAAAGTAGAGATGCATGTGTATTAAAATCTTTATTTTCTATTTTTAATGAGGACCACTAGTGGTAGCTTGCATTAGAGAGAAAAAATAAATATAGATGCCTCAAATTGCTTTTTGTTATGGGGCGTATGTATTCATATGCCACCATTGTACATGCCCTAAGTGAAAAAAAACGTTTCGTATTTCTAATCCAGCCGTGGACGCGTGTGCGGTTTGCCAACAAAAACCAACCCAGAGTCGAGCGACCGCGCCTCCCGATATGGATCCTCCGCCTCCCCGCCGTCGGTCCGCATCCTCCGCCACGCCATCCCCGCGCGCCGGCCTACCTCCTCTCCGCCGCGCCCTCCTCCCCACTTCACGGCCTGCCTCCTCTTCGCCGCACGCGGTTCGCCGACACCGAGGCCCAGGCCGCAGCGCTCCAGGCCCGCGTCGGCCGGCTGGAGCGCACGCCACCGACCATGATCGGGCTGCTCAACACGCTCCTCGCCGCCGTGGGCAACGGCTGGGAGGAGGAGGACGCGCGGGAGGCGGGGCAGCGGCATAATCAGCGCGTGTTGGATCCAGCCGAGGCTGAGAAGCCCGCGAGATCCCGTGACAGGGGGTCTACTCGTCGTCCTCTTGCGCGAGACGACTGAGGGACGCGGCGGCGCGGGTTTGACTCCAGAGAACGGCGACAATCCGGCTGCCACCGGACGGATC